AACCACGGTTTCTATTTGGGTTTTTTTTTTTTTGCCATTTCCTTCCTTCCTTCCTTCCTTCCTTCCTTCCTTCCTTCCTTCCTTCCTTCCTTCCTTCCTTCCTTCCTTCCTTTTCTTATTTATCTTTCTTTTTTTTTTTTTAGGGAGAGAGGGGAAGGGAGGGAGAAATAGAGGGAGAGAAACATCTATTGGTTGCCTCGTGTATGACCCGGGACCGAACCCGCAAGCTAGGCATATGCCCTGACCTGAACAGAACCAGTGACCTTTCCCTTTGTGGGACAACACCCAACCAACTAAGCCACACCAGTCAGGGCTATTGCCAGACGTTTTCTATGCATTTCTAAACATATAGATATGTTTACCATCTCTTGCTTGGATGAGTAAAACAGATTCCTCACTGGTCTCCCTGCCATCAAACCCTCTCCACTCTGGTTATTGCCAAAGTTATCTACCTAAACAGCAAATCCTACTCTGCTAAAAGAGCTCTGCTTGTTCTCTATGGGCTATGAGATAAGGGCCCATCCCTTAGTATTGCATACATAGAAACCCTTCACTGTCTGGGCCCAGCGTATGTCTCTGGCCTTGCTCCTTGTCACATCTGCCTTGTTCCTTCTCTCCAGCACCACTATTTCCTGGATAGGTCATGGCTCATCATATCTCCCTACCATTTTACAGATGCCCAGTCTCTTCTTTACGCATCACGTCGCTGCTCATTCTTCAAGACCCTGATCATCTGTTGTCTCTTTTAAAAGTGTGTTTCCACTTTTCCCTAGCAGAGATAATGGCTCTCTCCCCTCTGTTCCTTCAGAACGTTAATCATAATGTTTTTTTCTTCTCTATGTCCTTCCCTTAGTTCCCTGTAAGCTTTTTAAAAAGCACTATTGGATTGCTTCTCATTTTATGTCTGATACTCTGCCTAGTGTATAACAGGCATTTAATGAATGTTTGGTAAATAGACATGTCTTTGGTTTTAATTTGTATTACAATAAAGACCTAAGTTAGAGAAAAATTTTGGACCCCATTATTTTGGGGAATTTTTAAGCCATTTTACGAGTTTTGACTATTTTTACTATTTTACTGTAACTATTATAAATTTTACATATAAAATTTTGCATGTCCTATATATTTTACTGTTTTTACGAGTTTTGTTTAATTATATCATCTTTGACCTTTTAAGGATGGTAGTACAATTCCAGCAAGACCTTATTTCTCAACTTAAAAAATAACTTTTAACGGAATACTATGCAACAACTAAAAATTCTGTTAGACTTAAATAGACAGGAAGAAATGTACTCCTAAAATGTATTATGAAGTAAAAGTGAGTTACATAACAGTTTGATCCTATTTTTAAGAAAAGAATGTGATACTTAAGGAAATACCAACAAACATAAATCAGATTATCTTTATTTTCTTTATTCTTTTATTCTCCAGTCTTGTAATATATTATTTTTCTACTATGTAACTCTACAATGTTTGCATTTCTTGTAAGCAGGAAAAAACCAAGACAAAAACAAAACCAACAACCTCTCAGTTTTTAATCTTTCATATTCTTCTTAGAAAAGTGAAGTCTGGGTAGCAGATTTTTTTTTTTAGCTTGCACAGAAATTTAGAATTATCATTAAGTAGAAACTGAAATATAAGTATTAGTTTGAAGACAGTTTAGCTATATATATAAGATCAAGTCAGGTTTAAGTATTTTAGTGCCTTCTTTGGGTAATATAATGTGCTAGTGCTGCAATAGAATATGAAGGATATTGTTTCTATTGTGTGGTAACTTACAGTTTATGCTGGATAGTAGAAATTCTTGAGTAGCAGTTTGTGATGATGATAAAATAAGTCACAGTTTTCCTATAATTACCTTATTTAAACACATTTTCCTCAAACTGAAAATTTTCCCTATATTTTGAGGGTGAAGTTTTATTTTAGTGTCTTATTAGAAACTGAAAAATAAGATTTGCTTTGTTTTAAAGTCAAATTGGAAAGGACATTTGGTAGTTTTGATAATAAAAAATTAAGGTAGCCTAAGGAAGATTTTTTTAATGGTTAAATAAAAAAGATTTTTACATATAAACTCCTGAAGTATCATTTCCCAATAAGTGTGCCATGTGTGTTTGATTACTATCTGAATTGTCACAGATTATTAAACTGAAAATACAGATGTATAGTTGCTGTTCCAAAAAGTATCTTCTTGACATATTAAGTTGACATTTTCTATAAGTTCTATTGAATGATTGTTAACTGAGTATCTTTGCTTCCCATTTGCTAAGTGACTACAAAGATAGGGTTAGTTTAAAGCTTCCTGGTTCTAAAACTCATTGAAAATAATTCAGTATATTTTGTCTTCCCTATCTGTAAAATGAGGCAGAATGTTAATAGAAATGAGTTGGTTTAAGTATTAAACAGTTTTCTTCTGAACCTGAGGTACTCCTTTTTATGATGGAGATTTCACTGTGATTGCTGCATTTTCTTTGCTTCCTACTGAAGAAGCTCTTCATGCACTTGCAAGGAACATAAGGAGTCATGTCAGAGGTCAGCTATTTGAGTCCATTTTCCCACAGCTGCCTGGTGCGAGTGATCTTTTACTGTGTTTTAAAAAAATGGGCAAGGATTAAAGAGGATTAGGAAGAATATTACCCTCCTGAATATAGGCCCAAGGCACTAAGAGGAGAAAACCCAACCAGGCAGCAAACGGGCTTTGCTTGACCAGGACACAACCTCTGCTGCATTCCTTTAAGAAACTGAATGGGAAATGTTAAGTCCCCAAACTGGATTAGTAAATAATCTCATAGCTTGTGACATCTGCTAAAATAAATTGATGAGCAGATTGCATTCTTACACTTTGAGGAGAGAGCCAGATAAATCAAGACTAACAGTAATTCTTTTTTTCTTAAATTTCAGCTTTATTGAGTTATAGGAGTAAGAGTCTTTAAAGATGGGCATTAAGCTCAGTAAGTGTTGGAAAGACACGTTTCATAAAAATTATTTTACATATAATAATATAATGTATACATATATAGATTAATAACCTAAGGCTTAAGTATGAAACCACTACACTTATTTTGTTTTTAAGATTCTGCTTGCTTGTAGCAGTTTTACAAACTTTTTCACAAGTTCAACTATTTAATTTATGTTGTTTATCTCATTAGTTTGTGTAACAATCTGAGGAATTTAGAATTTGAAATGTGAGAATATATCTTTTGAGACACCTCTGGAATGTTTCTCTTTTTATATTTTATAACAAGTTAATGTGTTTTGGATCTTATGACACAAAACGTGGTATCACATTATTTAGAACCAAAGAGGTCATTTTAAACCTATTTTAGTAGGGGAAGTGTTTGCAAGGAAGTATTTAGCTAACTGAAATTTTTAAAAGATTTTTTTTTGAGTTGAGCACTTTAATAGTAAAGATGATGTACAAGTGATTAATTTTGCATCTTCATATAATTAGTACATTTGACTAGTGTAATAACTGTGATTATATTGGTTTTGTTATAATATTAAGGCAAGTATTTTCTTGAAGAATTTAAGATAGAATTTAATTTCACCTATGAATAAGAATCGATAGGCTATAGTTTCTTTAACAAGCACACCCACTAATCCCTTAAATGCATCTTGTTCTCTTGGCTCAGTGCCTTTGTTCAAGTTGTCCCTGTACTTTGAATATGTCCTCTTGTTCTTTTCTCCACCCACCCCCAATCCGCTCATCCACATTCCATCCATCTTTATATATCAGCTCAAATCCCAAATTCCATCGAGAGGTTTATTTTCAGCCCCTTAAGCAGAATTAATACCTCCTAAACGTAGAGTTACCATATGACCTAGCAATTCCACTCCTAGGTATATACCCAAGAGAGATAAAAACAGATGTTCACATAAAATTGGTACACAGATGTTTTACAGCATTATTCAAATAGCCCTAAGGTGAAAAGTGCCGAATAGCCATCAAACGATGACTGGATAAACTAATGTATTATACCCATACAATGGAATATTATTCAGTCACAAAAAGGAACAAGGTACTGATACATGCTGTAACATGGATATACTTTGAAAACATTTTGCTAAGTGAATGAAACCAGTTACAAAAAACCATGTATTATGCGATTCTCTTTGTATGAAATATCCAGAATAGGCAAATCTATGGAGACAGAAAATAGATGAGTGGTTGCCTAGGGCTTATGGGGAATGGTGGAATAGAGGGTGATAACTAAAGAGCACAAAGGTTTCCTTTTGAGGTGGTGAAAATGTTCTAAAATGGCTATCCTGATGGTTGCACATATCTGTGAATGTACTAAAGACCATTAAATTGTGTATTTTAACTGGGTGAATAGTAAAGTATGTAAATTATCTCAATAAAGCTACTATACAACACTAAATTAAAAAATTAGTACCTCCTATCCATATTCCTATATGCGTTGTTATACCTCTAATAAAACACAGCACAGTCGCACAGTCTGTTTATAATTATTAATTTAAGAACTCCATCTTTCTCATTGCATTATGAAGCTCCAAAAAAAAACAGTAGCGTTTTTTGGTATTCTCTAATAAGCAAGTGCTTTTCTCTCCATATTCAATTAATTTACTTGAACTTCTTCACAATTAAGTTCTGTCCCCTGTAAAATGGGAATGAGAAAAAAAAATTCAATGTTGCCACAAAGGGTTGTTACAAAATGGTATTCTATAATGTTTACACTTAATTAGTTTTTGGAAAAATAAATGCTTGTTCTCATATTACCTCAGCTTGAGTTTCCATTTTGTATTTAGCAAGGTCACATATAAGCCATTTATCACCTATTGTTACTGATAGAAATATTCTGGTCCTTAAAATTTGCATAGAAAGCATTTTATATACATTTATCTGTAGGAGCTTAAATGTCATTCCAACTAGCTTAATGTTTGTGACTTTGTAAAATTTAAATCTACATTTTTGTCAGTTTGAATTTACCACAATTTTTCTTTTTTTTCCTGTGATGTGTCTATGTGTGTGTTATTTTTTTTAGTATTTACTAGAGATGAAAAGCCTAATTTTACCTCCAGAACACATTCTGAAACGGGGTGATAGTGAAGCAATTGCCTATGCCTTCTTTCACCTTCAGCACTGGAAGCGAATAGAAGGTGCTCTTAATCTGTTACAGTGTACGTGGGAAGGCAGTAAGTATTCTTTTCCAAATGTAACCCTGATCTCTCTGACTATTCATTGCACTCACAGGCAGTCTTTTTAAATGAGATTGTCTGAGTTTCTGTAAGGATTTGCTGTTCAGATTAGTTTCATTGTGAACTCAGTGGTGTTAGGTTTGGTTTATTGGTAGAAGAGATATTTAATGAACTTATATTGATGCTACAGTTAGGAAAAGCAGAATGAGAAACTGTTATGGTATTTTGCCATATGTTCATTTGAATTACATATTTGTAGGGAAAGAAAATAACTCATAATCCTTGGTTTATAAGCTTTTTCATATGGTTGAACAATTCTAATATATTTTAAGTTGGCCTTTTGTTTTATTTTCAGATGTGTATAACATGAAACTGTTTTTGTCACAACTAATATCAACTCTATTCTTAAAATTTTTTATTTGTGGTATAATACATATGACATAAAAGTTGTCATTTTAACCATTTTAAAATATACAGTTCAGTGACATTAAGTACATTCACATTGTCATACAACTATCACCATTGTCCATCCCCAGAACTTTTTCATTATCCCAAACTGAAATTATACACCCATTAAACAGTAACTCCTCATTCTTCCCATTTTCCCTAGACGCTGGGAATCCTTCTACTTTCTGTCTCTATGAGTTTAACTCTAGGTCCCTCATACAGTGGAAACATATGATATTTGTCCTTTTATATCTGGCATATTTCACTTAACATAATGTTATAGCATGTGTCAAAACTTCATTCCTTTTTAAGAATTAATAATATTGCATTATATGTGTATATACAACAGTTTTTTAATGCATTTATCTGTCAATGGATATTTGTTTCTACCTTCTGACTATTGTGACTAATGCTGCTATGAGCATGGGTGTACAAATACCTGTTCAGGTTCCTGCTTTCAATCCTCTTGGGTATATACCCAAAAATGGAATTTCTGGATCATGTTAAATGCTGTTTAATTTTTGAGGAACCGCCATGCTGTTTTCTATAGCAGTTGCACCATTTTATATTTCACTAGAAATAAGCAAGCATTTAACTTTCTCTATGTCCTCATCAGACTTGTTATTTTCTGTTTTGGTTTTGTTTTGTTTTTCAGTAATAGTTATTCCAGTTGGTGTGCAATGGTATCTAATGGTGCTTTTGATTTGCATGTCCCTAATATTAGTGATGTTGAACACTTGTTATTGTGCTTATTGGCCATTTGTGTATATTCTTTGGAGAATTGGCTTTTCTTCAGCTAACTACCAGATCTCTCATTTATAACTTTTTAAAATCACTAAGGAAATGAAGAAGCTTAATCAAAGTATTTTATCAGTTGACTCTTATAATAATTCTCTTGGAAAGTACACCTCTGCTATCAATAAAAATTCAAAAATAAATTTCAGCACTCATTCACTAAAATTGGTCAACCTGCTTAGTTCCCAGACTTGGCATTAAGGTGCTATGGGAGCATTGCAGCATATTCACGGAGTGGCATGGGGTATTTTAAATGCTCAATGGGAACACAGCAATATCAACATCTGTCGGACACCATTCAAACTATTACTCTAGATGGTTCATAGTTTCACAGTTAGATGGCTCTCCAGTCTCTTTTTCTTCCTATAGCTTTGCAAAGCTGGGATTTTGTTAATTTTTGTGGTTGAAAGAAGTACCACACAAAAATCAGTGTGAAACAGGAAATGAAGCTAGCACTATCCAATCTCATTCCAAGGTTTGAGAGGTTGTACAGTTCTCAACAGACTCATATACCTCTAAGAAATGATGGTTATTTAATATGAAATGATAATTTTTTCTTTTAATTTATGAGCATTTTTTCAAATCACTGCTAACTTGTTAGAACATAAACTTTTAAAGTTTTTTGGACCCACTACCTAATAAGTGGAATTGTTAGATATTTCTCTTTCAGCCTACAGGCATCATAAAAAATTACTGAGACAGAAAGGACACCATGTGTCCTTGAACCAAGAAAATTTAAGAAACTGACTTAAGGGTCAAACACTGTGCTTGACACTGATAGTGTACAGATTGATGAAACTGGGACAACTAAAACTGAGGGACTGAATATCTGGGTTATTAGACTTTATTTTGATTTTTTCCCCAGTAGTCTGTAAGCTTTTCAAAACCAGGTACTGTATCTCATTCACCTATGAATAAACAGTATGTGTCTAGCATTGAAGATTTTCAATAAGAATATAACTTACATTGTATTTCCTGTATAATCATGTTAATGCATGATTTCCTAGTGTTATCACTGATTTCCTCTGGACCTTGGACAAATCACTACTTTTTATTGTGGTCGAATAAAATCCATATTTTGATAGAAGTTTAGAGAGAGGTACTAAAGCAAAAGCAAAAACCTATCACAATTTTGATGAGTACTTAGCTAGTTTTGTAGATCAGTAAGAATTCCTGCTATAAGAAGTCTACATGCCCTCACTGGGTAGCTCAGTTGGTTAAAGCGCCACCCCAATATGCCAAGGTTGTGGGTTTGATCCTTAGTAAGGGCACATGCAAGAAACAACTAATGAGTGCAACAGATTTCTCTGTCTCTCTCTCTTTCTTTCTCTATCCTTCCCTCTGTCTCTGCCTCTCTCTAAAAAATCAGCAAACAAAAATTTTAAAAAAAGTCTAAAGAGTTGGTGACAGTCTAGATCAAGGATGGGTAAACTTTTTCACTGGCGGGCCAGATGGTAAACATCTTGTCTTTGCAGGCCATAGTCTCCATCACAACCACCCAGCTCTTGCAGCATGAAAGCAGCTTTTTACAGAATATATAAATGAACAAACATGGCTGCATTGTAATAAAAATTTTATTTACAAAAACAGAGAGTGGGCCAGGTCTGGCCAAAGGGTTATACTTTGGTGACTCTGATCTAAATTAAGCTCTGCTCATAGAAAACTTTGTTGACATCTCACATGTGAAGTTAGAAACCACTGAGAACTCTCTTAAGTTGCCAACAATATGGCCACAACAGTTATACATGTTGCAATTTTATGAAAATTACTGTAGGAAGTGTAATTCATACCCAGAGAGTAAAGTCTATTGTGTTTGTAATGAGGAGACTGAGGCAAGAAAGACCCAGCCAGTTTTATTTAGTAAGCCCTTTACTTTTATTCCAGCCTGACCATTCACTATTTTCTAAATAAACCTTATTTTTCCTTTTATTCATTCTTCTGCTTACTTTGTTTCTTTCATTAAAATGTGTCTCTAAAGAAGAACATAAGATGTTATATGAACGTTCTATAAAAATGTTTTAAAAATAGCTTTGATATATGGTATAAGATGAAAACAAGTGTGAAGTGAACATCAACATGTATTTTTTTCCTCAGCTTTTAGAATGATTCCATACCCGTTAGAGAAAGGCCATCTATTTTACCCTTATCCCAGCTGCACAGAGACTGCTGATAGAGAGCTGTTACCTAGTAAGTAAATATTCTAGCTTTCCTAAACTTAAAAGTCATGGTGAGATTGTTTTTCATAGTGTTCTCCCATTTTCAAAGTACCTTTGGTTGAAATTCAGGATAATCTTTAAATACTATTTTAGCCATTCCTTGGATGTACTTACATAATATAATTAATTTCCAAGTGTTTTTGGAGTGAAACCCTGTGCTAGATGCAATAAAGGACACAAAGATTAAAGATATTAAAAAGGGCAGGCATCTTACAAACATTTAAGAAAGAAATATTATCAATACTTTACAAACTCTTTTCAGAAAATAAAAGACGAAAGAATACTTCCCAACTCATTCTGTGATATCAATATTACCCTGATACCAAATCCACATGAAGACATTACAAGAAAAGAACACTGTAGAACAATATCCCTTATGAATATAGACATAAACGTCTTGAACCAAATATTAGCAAACTTAATTTAGGAACATGTAAAAAGGATTATACTCCATGACCAAGTGGGATTTACCTCACAATGCAAGGTTGATTTAACATCTGAAAATAAGATGTACCATATTTATAGAATAAAGGACAACAGATGAAAAAAAATTTGACACAAATTCAACACCCACTCATAATAAAAATTCTGAACTAGAGAAAAAAAGGAACTTTCTCACCCCAATAAAGATAATCTATGAAAAACCCACAGCTAACGCCATATTCAGTGGTGAAAGACTGGGTGCTTTCTCCCTAAGATCAGGAATAAGGCAAGCATGCCTGCTTTCATCAGCTGTACTTGGCATTATGCTGGAGAGTCTAGTCAGTGCGACCAAGCAACAAGCAAGAGAGAGAAATAAAAGGCATTCATATTGGAGAGGAAGGAGCGAAACTGTTTTTATTCACAGGTGATAATTTTCTATGTAGGAAAGTCTAAGAAATCCATAAAAGTACTATTAGAACTTTATAACAAGCAAGTTCAGCAAGGTTGCACAATGTAATACCAACATACAAAAAATTGCATATTTACATACTAGCAATGGACAATCCAAAAATGAAATATTGAATACAGTTCTAGTTACAGAACAGTTTAGGAATAAAATTTAACAAAAGAAGTGCAAGATTTGTACACTAAAAACTACAAGATATTGACAGGAAAATTTAAAGATAATATGAATAAGTGGAAAGATATTCCATGTTTATGGAGTGGAAGACGCAACATTATTTATATAGCAGTCCTCTCCAAATTAACCTATAGGTTCAATAAAATCCCTATCAAAAATTCCAGCAGGAATTTTGCAGAAATTCACAAGCTCATCCCAACATTTATAGCAAGAGGTAAAGGACCCAAGGAGGCCAAATGATCTTTACAAAGAAGAATGAAGTTGGACAAACTGTACTTCCCAATTTTAAACAGAGTCGTCAAAAAGTGAGGAGAACCAGAAACACGTAAGGGTGTGGTTGCTGAGACTGTGTGCGTACCCTTCCTGCTCTCAGGAAGCCTCCTCAGAGGGACAGTCTGCGTCTGTCTTTGTCTCCGCCCGCTGTCGTCCACTCACTCTTTCTCTGTGAACTGGTCAACATCTGTTTAACTTTTGTTTTTATGATTTAACCAATAAACCTGAAGGTTATGAACACTAGTCCCATGTTTCCTTATATGATATAAACCTGTGCCACAGTTTTTACAGTTCTGGGGCCATTAGAATTGAAGTCTAAGAAGGAAAGTTGTATTTTTACAAGCATCAAACTTAATGAGCTGAAAAGTTCAGACAGACAGATGAAAATGTAGGAGAGATTGTAGAAGTTGAGTATGCTGATATTTTTCTCCCAGAGTCTTTTAAATTGTCTTCCATCCTCTGAGATAAGTTATCTCTTCTTTCTTTGAACTATCAAAGTGTTTTGTGTACTTCCTAATCTTCCCCTTCTAGATTTTAAACTTGAAGGCCAGGATTCTCTTTATTGTTCCTCTATGTATATCTAGAATGTTTACCATAAAAATTTATTTTCAAGAAATATTATTTGAATTAATCATGTTTATTAATTTATTCTTATAAACATGCCAGGTACATTGTAAGTTCTCAGTAGAAATGTTAACTATTAGTACCTTTTCCTCCTTAGCCTACTCTGAACTCCTAAGCTGCTCACAGCTTAATAGAAAGATTGATAAACAATGTGTTAAGTGCTATATGTATGAAATAGATTATGAAGCTGGAATGGGGAGTGCCTAGTTTTCTAAGGTCAGGGATGATTCCTAAATCTGACTTGGGTGACTTGAAGAATGGTAAATCCATCATACAGCAGGAGGAGCAGGTTTGGGAACAGGAGTGGGGGAAGTGAGTGAGTTCAGGCTTTGAGTATGTTTCATGTGTTACTTCTCACCCATGTATACACATATACATATTCATTTAAAATGAAATATCTTATTACCTAGTCATAATTTTCTAGGCATGAATGATATCACTAAGGGAAATGGTATAGTGTGAGAAGTAAACTAAGGGTAGAACCATGGGGCACAAAAATGTCTGAGGAATGGGTGACTGATAAGGAGTCTGGAAGGTTCAGTGAAGGAGTGGTCAGAGAGACAGGACAAGAACCAGGACTAGATATCCTAGAAACTAAGAGGAGGAAAGCATTTTCAAATGAGGAGGAGTATCTGAGATACTAAGTAAGGTATGTAATTACTGAGAAGACTCTATTGACTTTGGCAATTAGAAGGTCATTGGTGAGGGAAGTTTTATTTTCTTTTCTAGGATGGTGGTGGTAGTAATTGTTCTTGTTGTTTTTCCATTTTAATAGGAACAAGGATTTTTTTTTCTTTAACAAGGCTATATAAGGCAAAGGAACAAATCTCTAATTATGGAATATCAGTATTCAAGAGGGTATTATATTAAGCTAATACATTTAGCCTAAAATAATACCCCCCAAATTATTACAAAGGCTGCCTGTTATAAGGCCAACTTTGCATAGTAATATTAATAAAGACAGGGTTATTATCATGTATTGTCAGAGCTACAGGCTGTAAGAACAGACAGTTTGCTTCTTGGCAGGCCTTTATTATTTCCAGGGTGCTACTCATTTGCAAATTCCAGGAGATTGGGGAGGAAGGATATGCTAGAGGAGGGGGGGGTTGTTTGATTATATTGTGTTCTTAGAGTATTTTTTTCTGTCTCTGACTGGTAGAATGAACACATTTTTAATAATGTGGAGTTCTAATACTCAGGAGTACTTAATGTTTTTTGTTTTCAATTCTCCTTCAACCTTGATATGACTTACAGCGTTCTGGAATTTGCTTATGAACCTCATAAGTTCAGACTTGAACTATTCCCTTAGTTCACATAGCTATGTAGTTGTCTTTAATGCCTCCTGATAAATTTTTCTCTACAAGCCAGTGATGAAATTTACTTCCAAGGGAGTGTTTCTGTGCTAGTCATCCATTATATTGATATATTAGCTAAACATTGACTGACAAATGAATCTACAGAAAGTAACCCCAAAATAAATAATTAAGTCTCATATTTTAGGAAATTATGTTATACAGCTACACAGTTTTCTGCCTTATAAAGTGGGAAAAATATTTTCTATCTCTTAGAGTTATTAACAAAGTTTTAAAGTAATATATAAATTAAAAAACACTTTGTAAACCATAAAATGCTGTACAGTTTAATCAATATTAATTTGCTGTCTCTCACATGATAGCAATTCTAGTAACCATTGATATACATAAGTATTTGTTCCCTGTCTGAAAATACCATGATTTGCATCTAGGTTTGCTGGAAGAAGCTGGCCTCTGCTGACTGAGGGATGGGGCAAAAAGGAACGCTCTTTTTTGGGTGCTGACAGCACAGTGTTGTCCACAGCTCTAATGTTTCTAATTTTTTTTTAAATTAGATTTGTTGTGTTTTCACTTTAAACATGAGTCAAGGACCTGGAAATTTTTAGCATTTTTAATGAGTTTGGTTTTGGGTTATACTTTCTGAGTATAGTATAAGACATAAAAATATCATGTCTACTGAAGGAAACTTAGGTGTAATATTCTCTGTGAATCATTATGTTTAAAAAGTGAGATTTATAGCTGACCTTGATTCAGCACTGGATTAGTCACCCCTTACTTATGTAGGATATTACATCAGGAATTCCTGGGTTTGCGTCCAGCTCTGAGCAGTCAGCTTCCCGGACTAATGAAGACCCAGAATAGCTTTCAGTTCAACAGACATTTATTGTGCACCTACTGTGTGCCAAGCAGAAGCATCGTCATAGGCTCATCTCAACGGTGTTATTCAAGTATGCTCAAATTTTGAATAAAATACACGTACTTGAATACTTTTGGTAATGGAATACCCAATTATTAGAAAAATATCTGAGTAAATGTTTGAATGTGGTAAAATAAGACAAGGGACTTCACTTATATTCAGAATCTTAGTGCTTTAGTATTCTTAGTTCGATTTTTATACTGCTCAATGAAATGCCATATATAGAATAACTAGGTAAAATGAGTAACTGATGGTTTTGGGAAATCTCCAACCATATGTCTGTCTCTTGATCTCTATACTCATCTCTGAGCTCCCAAAGAGCAAGAATTGTAATCACTGACATTTTTTAAGGGCTTACAGAGTTCATCATAACAACTCCATAGCAACTAATAGAGGGTTTAGCAACTTATTCAAGATCACACAGCTAATAAGTGACAAAGCTTTTTTTCAAACCCACCTCAGCATGACTTTACAATTAATATTCTTTCCCACGATGCCATCTGAGTCGCAGTCCCCAGCACAGTATCTGGCTATGTAAATATGCTGTGGATACTGGAATAAATAATGGATAACTTTCTTCTTCCTTGCTTGGCCAGAGACTTGTTCTTTTTATTATTATTAATTTCCATCTTAGTTTTTAAAAATAGATTTTGTAGGAAAATATTAAAACCAACATACTGTATTCTGAAATAAAAACCCACTTCTACCTTTTCTCCCTTGCAGCCTTTCATCATGTTTCTGTTTATCCAAAGAAGGAGCTTCCTTTTTTCATCCATTTCACAGCAGGACTGTGTTCTTCTACAGCAATGATAGCTCTTCTCACACACCAGTTTCCTGAAATCATGGGTGTTTTTGCTAAAGCTGTAAGTATGATCTCAAGGACTTGTGTAGAGTATCTGTAAAACACACAAGAAACTCTCTCTGAGGTGTTTGTGCTAAACCAGCTGAGCAGTGGGTGATACTTGTTATAATAAATTACAGGAATTGATTTGTAAAGTCGCTGGCATCAATATATCAAACATAAGTTTTTGGTGATTTGAGCTATATTTTTGTCGCTTAAAATTTGAATACAATGGTCTTTGTAGACAATTTTTGGTGGTATAGATAGCACTTGTTACTAGCTAAAGAATAATCCAGTTCTTGTAAATGCATTTTCTTTGGCATTTAAAAATATCCCTATTTTGTAAACAAGCCCTTTGATTTTTTTAAAATTTAAATGAAATCATTAGTTCTAAGTATTTACTGAACTTTAAGAGTGTGACTAAGATGGAGAATAAGTAGGTCAGGTGGGACAGCTAGGACATTTGCCCTGGGTACCAAATGTGCCTCCTCGCTCAAATGTTTTCCCTGTTATTGTATTTGCATGTTCTTATTGACCTTCTGCAATCTTGAATGTAGAACCATGTATATAGACCTTTATTTTCAGTTTTACCATTTACTTTTAAATTACTTCCCCATTTCCTGATCCAGGTCTAGAAAGAACTTGAGGACTGATATTAGAAAGGGTATCTCATGATTATTTACTCTTTGATGTAAACTTACAAATTAACATCACTGGCTTAAAGTAAAATTACCAAAAATAAGTCCCTTTAAGTCTCTAAGCCTTTTAAAAATGTGTCTTTCTTGTACATGTTTGCATTTTACCAGGTAATAAGAGTTCAGACCCAAAAAGAAAATCATGATTCATTTATTCCCAAATAGAAAAGCACTGAGAAACATAGAAACACTAGCCCTTACTTGGTAATGTAATTTCTACATTTTTCTCTAAATACCTCCATTCTAAATCCCTGTCTCCTCACAGTTTCTTTTCCTGCCTTAAGAATAGTTTATTTTGTGCCTTAAAGATTAGTTGGTTTTCTTCTGGCACCAGTAGCAAGAGCACTGGTTTCCTTTTTTCCCTGAAGGTCAACTGTATAATGTGTTAAGTTGCCACTGGCTGTAGGCCTAGGAGTCTGAGACCACACTTGATTTTGGGTCTAGCTTCAGGAAGAATGACTTTCCGCTGTTGTTCAGGGATTATAGATATTTGGGTTGGAAACTGACTATCTTATTTTCTTTTAGTGTAAAAGGGAAGCTTAGTGATCATACCATAACTCTGTTGTTTGCAGTTGTGCTGATTGGGGAGTAAGTGCATCTAAAACTGAAATGATCTTACTGTGTAATCTGGCATGGGAAAAAAGTGGACTAGAAAGGGAACCCCATCCATTTAACAACTGGGGAAAAAATGTACAGCTGTGTATTGGAGATCACTGGCAAGCAATGGGAGAGCCACTTCAATACTGAGTTTCTCTCAGGCCAGTGGGGAGGAGGTAAAATAGAGTTAGGAGGGAGATATAGAATCTGGAATAGAGATGTGGCAGCTTGTTAGTAGTGTACTTCCATGGGGTACTGGCTAAAATTAGTGTGGGGTGTGCTCACTGTCTGCTCTGTCCATTGCTCTTGGTGTATAGTGTCTGCCTTTACCTAAGAGACCACTGATGTGCCCGAAGAGCCTTTAAGATTGCAGAGCACAAGATCCTTAGCACTCCCTCTAGCAGGGTCTGAGAATAATCATAATGTTAAAGTGGAAGCTTTTTTTTAGACCAAAAGTTATTAATTTACTGTGATTCTAGTTCATGAATAGTGAACAGGCATTTATTTACCATCTGTTGGTATTTATGTTATATATAGTGTTATATATATAGTGTTAAAAACGTGCCTGACAGCAAACTTTTGCAGCCAATCCCTGTGGCCTTCACATGTGCATTTTAAGTTCCTAAAAGCTAAGTATTTACTGAAATATTCTGCAAACCAATATTTGGTGTGCAGAAGGTCCAGGGCAGGTTTCATTTAAGAATTAACAGAAAATGGTCCTGGTCGGCCAGCTCATTTGGTTAGAGTGTCATCCTGATGTGCCAGTGTTGCTGGTTCAGGGCACATAGGAGAATTTAGGCATCGTGAATGCACAAATAAGTGGAACAACAAAATTGATGTTTCTCTCTCTCTGTAAAAATCAATCAATAAAAAAAAGAACTTAGTTATTATTTTTTTTAAAAAAGAATTAATGGAAAATAATTATGATCTGGGCAGTCTCCAGCTTATAGGCATAATGTTTTGACTCAGTAGCCAACTAGCCAGCCAGCCAGCAAGGGAACAAGAGGCTCACTTAGCTATAAGTATGATCTCAAGGACTTGTGTAGAGTATCTGTAAAACACACAAGAAACTCTCTCTGAGGTGTTTGTGCTAAACCAGCTGAGCAGTGGGTGATACTTGTTATAATAAATCCTACCTCTTCCCCACTTAGTAAAGTATATCTATGCACTGGGAGCATCGCCATCAATAACTGGGAGCGTTAGAACTGCAGAACCTCAGGCACTGCTCCAGACCTCCTGAATTTGTACTTTAACAAGATCCATAGGTGATCCTATATGCACATTAAAATGAGAAGCGCTGCTTTATTCTACCCGCAAAAGATGAATTTAGAACACCTGGATAATACCACCGTACCAAGGTAGAGAAGGCCGCATTGCTGAGTGGTTGTGAGTGTAGGCTCTGGAGCTAGATTGCTTTTCTTTGAATTCCAGCCCTGACACTGGCTGTGCAGCGTCGGATGCGTTACTTAACCTTTTCTCCCCTCACTGTGAAATAAGAATAGTACTTACCTCACAGGCTTTGTGTGTGTGTGTGAGGGTTAAGATGAGTTTAAAATACGCCAAGTGTTTAGAACTGTGTCTGCCCGTAGTAAAAACTGGGTGAGCATTAGCTGTGGTCGCCATTGTCATTGTCATCATCACCAAAGTGCAGCTTAGCAGGAAACCCTACCCCCGTTTCATGTTTGGAGGAGCTATGTCCTAATAGTAAACTCAAAATGCACATCCCATACAAATTGTAGCAGAAATTGTGGTATAAACATTTAAGCAATATTATTAGTACTATACTTCTAGTACCTTATGTATATGTGGGCCATAGAAAGTGGAGAAATGTTTCAAATTCTAGCCGTGGCAAACTGTCTTGCAGAATAGAACCTATTGGTAAATTTTCAAACTGTGTTAGGATTTTCAGTTAAGTCAGATAGTTGATGGCCAAATACAGTAGAAATCAATGAAGAGTTTTCTTTGAAACGTACTGTTCTGTTTTGTAAGGTAAAGAAACTTAAGTAAATTTCCTAAATTTTTTTCTGTTGTTACCATTGTCTCTTCCTCATCTAATATCTTTTTGTATTAGTTTACACGCTAGAGTAAATTCAATTTGAATTTGTTAAAATATATTTGTTCACAAAAATTGCTTTTTTGTGAAGCAAGGCAGTAGGGATGAATGATTTTTAATAATCCTCACTGTGTATCAGATTTTGATAAATGGAAGGGAACAAACTAGAATGGTTTGTGATTTTCATTCCTTTTTTCCTTTTGTATGGTATAAAGTGATGTGGAATATGACTTCATTTTCAGTGAGTTAGGACTTTTTTTTCTGATTTCTTCCCTGGCTGAGATAAAACTTAGCCTGATATTGGACATAGAGCAATGAAAAAAATTGCGTAAATCCCTGGAGAAATGGAATGTGCTGATATTATAGCAGATACTCTCCAAGGTCAGAATTCCTGAAAAAGGAAAAGTTGCTTTTAAGTGGTAGGTCATTTTCTCACCTGCTTTGAAGCCTGCTGAGTTAAATATGAGAGTTCAAAGTAAGGGTAGCCAGCAAAATGAACTGGAATCTGATTCTGCTTATCTGAAAGGAGCTTCTCTATGTAAGAGCAGCACTGCCCTCTCCTTAGAGAACCAGTCTTCATCAACTCTGGCCCCTCTCACTTCTCTATTGCAAGCAAAGCTTTCTTCTTAGTAAGCCTTGGGAGGGTGTTATCACAACAGTGAAAAGATAGTGTTGGTCTTTGGGGACTTCAGTCACTTACTGATGAATTCAGGCTTGTGGCATGTGCCTTTAGTGCTCTGAATTCAGGAGGGTGTTTGAAAATAAAAATCCTTAGTTTGGTTTTAACAATTTAGTTGCAATGTTGGCAAAAAAAAACCAACCCCAAAACGGTATACATAAAGAAAACAATAAAAAATATTCCCAAATAAATTGTTTGTTTCACTAAGGCAAAACTTTGTTGACATTTGCTTCAGTGAACACGTATTGTAGCTGTGCTGGGGTGGGAATGGGCCTTGTTTCCACATATTTCCACTAATCTTGATGTGGGAAAATGTGGTTGGACATGCCAGTGATGAATTTCTGAGCAACTCGTAATTGGCTGGCTGCACTGTAACCAGGGCCTAACAATCTGCTTGATTAATTCTTTAAGGACTACATTAGCCAAGTTGCATGATTTCCAAAGATATAGAAGGTCAGATGTTATACTAACGAAAGACCTCTCTACAGAATGTCTCACTGGGATTTCTTTAGCCCCTGCCCAAAAATAATTAACATTTTTCTCCCCATATTACATTTAAAAAAATAGTAAGCAGTTATAAATGCCAAAATGTCTTTTACCGAATAGTGACCAAAATTTTTGAGGCTTGTCAACTATTCTCATCATTTTTCTAGGGCAAACATTGTCCTCATAACTAGGGAAGTTGATAGAAAATTATAAATATATGTTGATATATACTAGTAGAAAAAAATAAATATTTTTAAAGGTTATTTTCCATTGTCATAAAAGGTGACATATGAAATCTGTTCATAGGTGAAAGTTTTTTTAGTATTCTACATTTAACTTCATTTACTAATAATAAAAACCTATGATAGTTGTATTTTTCTTCATTAAATACATAGGGTCACATGCATAAATTAAACTGACAGTTAAGTTTTTTCACTTTGTTTGAAAATTGATTATTTTTCAAAGCTATAATACTTTATTTCATAAGAACTGATATAATTTTTAAAATGTCTTGACTTGTTACTAAGCTTATAGTCCTATAAAATATTGTTCCGTAACTTATGTTATTTCCACAGCAATATATGTGAGATATTTTCCCAAAGACAATCCTGCTAATAAAATGAGCCTATTGTGTAGCAGGTCAGAATTTCAAATGTTTACATTTTTGTTCCATTGTTAGTGCCACTGAAGTCTGTATTTGGGCTGTCTGGCACATTCCTCTTTTGATTTTATTTATTAATGGACATATTTGTAGCAAGAGGAAAGATGTTCTCTGTTTTTTCTAAGGGCATTATTTCTCATACTTCCTTCTCATTGTTCTCCTTCAAAAAGAACCAGGGTGAGAAATTTGTGAAATCACTAATGTTATTCTTTATCCAGATTTTCTAAGTATGAGCTCTTCAAAGGAAAAAAAAAGAATAAAAGATAGGACAATGTACTTTTAATGCATGTCTGTATCCCTTCCCTAGGGTTTAATTTAGTTTTGAAGTTTGTGGAAAGCACCTTCTTTCCCTATTAACATGTGTCTGTCAAGTATGAAGTGCACCAGAGCTTCCCTTCAATTTATTTGGCAGTAATTTAATCATTTATTCCCCTCAAAGTAAAAATCTCAGTGCCAAAGTTTAGGACATCCTGTCAGTCACTGCTACTAATCTGTTTATCACCCAGTTGTCAGCACTTGGGGCAAGGGGACTGCACAGCAGCCTTTAGAAGG